TGTATCCCCAGTATTTAATGCATCAGTGCTGGGCACATCATAAACTTTTAGTCAAAATCTGTGAAATGTACAAATATGTACAATTTTTTTTTTTTGCCTTCCCAACAGATGGTCAGTCCCAGAAAGGCAGATAACTTGTCATGTACTTTTCTTGAATCCACAGTAGCCACCAAAGTTGTTGGGCAAATAAGTTAGCATTTAAGGATGCAAGCCACACTTGTAAATGGACCAATATATTCTTCTTAGGGGTTGCTATACTGTGGGAAAGTCACGTGATACAGAGTCTAAAGATGCAAAGTCTCAAGACCTAGGTTCTAGCCCTGGTTCATTTCCTCACTGTGAGATGCTGGCCATACTAGCTTGACTCCCTGGGCTTGTTTTCTGCAAAATGAGGGAGAGAAAGACCTTGCAGGTTATCATAAGGATGAAGTAAGAGAAAGTAAAGCACCATATAAATACATGTAGAATACAATTAAGAGGGACAAGGAAACACTCCTATCAGGTCTTATGGTTTGCAGGAAAATGGTTCTTCCTTCTGCACATCCCATTTCAGGATAGAATTTTAAAAAGTACTATACCAGGACCCCAGTCCCCAGGCTGCAGACTGGTACTGGTCTGTGGCCTGTTAGAAACCTAGGTGCACAGCAGGAGGTGTGCAGCAGGCAAGCAAAGAGCATTATTGTCCGAGTTCCACCTCCTGTCAGATCAACTGCAGCATTAGATTCTATGGGAACACAAACCCTACTGTGAACTGCAAGGATCTAGGTTGCGCACTCCTTATGAGAATCTAAATAATGTCTGATGATCTGAGATGAAACACTTTCATCCCGAAACCATCTCCCCTATCCAGCCACGGAAAAATTGTCTTCCATGAAACCAGTCCCTGGTGCCAAAAATGGTTGGGGACCACTGAACTATAGCATCATTCATTATGCTATGTTTATGTAACCATCACATACCTTATAAGCTTGACACGAAGTATCATGGGAAAACAAAGTCTCGATATTCAAAATGGAGAACACCACCCTGGCCTAACCTACTTGCAAGCGCCCCAGGACCACTTTTCAACCTATGAACCTGCAGCATGGCTTAAATAGGGCATAAATGCCAAAAATCTTCCTGATTTACTTATAAAGGTTAAGTCAGAGGCAAAGCCAAGAACTGGACAAACTTTTTCAAGGAAAACAATGTTTTTGACTCAAACTGAACCAATTAAATAGATTGGTTAGGTCAGTATGCTCTATTTACAAGTTTCCAAGTGATCTAAAATTAATCAGAAAACTTAATTTTATTCCAACCTCTCCTTAAATTCTTCTTAACATTTATTAGCCTACTAATCTAACTTTGTGATTTAGTAAGTATAGTATACTGAACATAATTGAATCTTTGTTTATAGATTCAAGACCACTTGGCAGGGATGCTCTAGACAAGATGCAGACATCAGATGAGTGGTTGATTCAGATAAACATTAAGATTGCCTTCAAATCTGACAATCTGGGATCAGAACAACTAGCTATGCTTTCACTTATGAAAATGAATATCAGGCCGGGCATGGTGGCTTACATCTGTAATCCTAGCACTTTGGGAGGCTAAGGCAGGCAGAGCATCTGAGGTCGAGTTAGGAGACCAGTCTGGCCAACATGGTGAAACCCCATCTCTACTAAAAATACAAAAATTAGCCAGGTATGGTGACGTGTGCCTGTAATCCTAGCAACTCGGGAGGCTGAGGCAGGAGAATCACATGAACCTGGAAATCAGAGGTTGCAGTGAGCCAAGATCGCACAACTGCACTCCAGCCTGGGTGACAGAGTGAGACTGTCTCAAAAAAAAAAAAAAAAAAAAAAAAAAAAAAAAAAATCAATCATCACTGGACAGTACGGAAATGTGAACTAATATATAGCCAACAAGCAATATAGCACAGTGCTTAAAACTGTAGGTAATGAAGCCAAATTGTGAAGCCAAATGTGCAAAATGGGAATAAAAGTACCTATCTCACAGGGTTGCTATAAGGATTAAAAGAGGTGAATGTGAGTTACTCTGCTTTGCATAAGTTTAATATGTGTCAAAATATTGGTGACTTTCCATGCATTACTTCATTAAACCCTAAAACAATCCTTCAAGGTAGGTGGGTAGCTCATTTTTAAAGCTGAGGAAACTGAAGTTCAGAGAGGAAGCGTATCTTGCTTAGTCAGTGCCTCAGACAGGGTTTGCATCCAGTGCCCTCTGCCTCCCAAGCCTGTGTTGTTTCCATCACAGCATCCTGCCTCCCTAATAGGTCAAAATTGTTGAATGTGTATCAAACTGAGTGAAGCCTATGCTGACTTTTTATTGTATAAACTGCCTTTTGAAGCAATCCCTGGTTAACTGCTTGCTTTCTCATCAATACTCTCATGCTTAGAGCACAACAGAAATAATTCCATTAACTAAAGATTCACTAAATCATGGTTCACTTATACCATGAATGTATAAGTGACAAGTGAAGTTCAAATAGCTAAATAACACCCAGTAAAATAGTGAGCCTACCTTAGCCTGTTTCTTTCCTCAACTTTTTTTTTTTGCATAGGATTATAACATTTTGCCCATTATGATTATTCTAATTCTTTCCTGAATTATTGCCTCCCTTGTTTATCACTCATCTAAGCATTGTCTCAAATGCTAAATGCTATTTAGTATGTTTGTCTTGTCACTCCAAAATGGTAACTTCTGGGCTCTTACAATCCCCAAAGTATCTTATCCAGGACTAAACATAACTAGCTTCCAATAACTGCTTTATGCTTTGGATCTGACTGATTCCAAACAGACACTAAACAAAGTAGTTTTTCCATTCTTCAAGAGCAGTTCAGTAAAAGACATGCCATGAAGAGCCTTGAGAAAGCCTAAAACACCAAAAGAAAGAAGCTGAAGAACTAGCCATGAAGAACTCTGAGTATTAAAAAAGAAGGTGGGGGCAGCCAAGGTGAAACCTCAAGAAACATGGAGTCTGGAAAGAGAAAATGAGAAAAGTTAAGGGGAGTGGGTGTTCAGAAAACAGGGTTTGAAGGAGAAGGGGAATTGTAGAGTTAAGGTGGATTCTGATCCAGTGGAAAAATATTGGATCAGAAGCCTTACCAAGTTTCTCTGGCTAAAGAGCCTGGGTGGCAATCTGTGGGTGGTCCGCACTTAAGAACACAAAAAACTGGACACAGATACAAGTGGAGAGAGGTGTCATGCAGCAGGGAGTGGTAAGAGTCAATCCTAAATGCAGTCATTTGGGTACAATGTGCCCTTCAGAGAGGGCATGGTGACAGCATGGGCTAATTTACAGAGCTGCCAGGGCAATAACTCAGAAAGCAATACTGCCCTTCTCACAACAGAACGAGGCAGCCCCAGAATGTTTCATGGTGGTAAAAGCTGTATTACAGCATATTGAGATCCTGGAACCAATGAAAGGAGACAAGTTTACCAAAACGAGTCTTGACACAGAGTACGTTTCTGGCAAATACATTATTAGGCACTCATTCTACTCATGTCCTGGAGAAACTATTTAGTTTCCTTATATGGCCCTTCTCTTCAGCTCTCTCCTGTATAATAACTAATGTCTTCTTAAAGAAACAAAGATAGAAAAGGAATAGAGAACTGTTTCACTCGTTTACCGGCCCCCTCTGCCCCCAAACTCCCTCGGTTTTTTTCCAGGGAGGTGAGTGAAGGCTCATCACTGACAGTGTCAAAGAAGAAATATCAGCTTTTGAAATCACTTTAAAAAATTGATTCTGCTACAGAAATCTATGTTGATGGGAGAAGACAAGGGAGATGCTGCCATTGTCTATGCTGACTGCCAGAATTAAGCAGCCTTGTTGTAACCACGATGGTTTTCTTTAATCCTGCTAGAATTTTAAGATACAATGTGCATATGCAAGGGTAGAAATACTATCATGGATACAAAATCAAAGTGAATCCCAGCTGTCACTCTTAACTGAGAACCAATTCCTAATGGTACTCCTCTTCTCAAATTTCTTCAGTTGGCCCCCATTATCTACAAATCAAATCCAAACTGCTTAGCAAGACCCCAATTTCATTCTCAATACATTTCCCTCCCTATTCTCAAATTCTACAGTCCACCTCTCCCAAAAACCATGCTCCTCTGCCTGGAAAACCGTTTCCATCCCTCTTTGCTGGGCGAAATCCCGCTCATCATTCAAAGAACTGCTTGCTTTCCTCTCTTCCAGGAGGACTGCCTTGATACGTACTTATCCTCCTATGAACTCTTGGAGGACCCTGTACCTATCTGTCACTGCATTCACATACAGCACTGTCATTTCACTTTACTGGCTTTCCCTTCTACTAAACTGTGAGGATCAAGTGCCAAATTCTTTGGTTTCTATTATATCCTCTAGTGCCCAGGTCAGGGGCTTGACACATGGCAGATAAATGAATAGTAAATATAGCCATCCATAACTCTTTCAACAGGAAAATACTCTCTTTAAATCTTTCATGAAATAGGACAAGTATCTTCCCCTTTTTACCACATGTAGAGCCAGAATGACTTTGAAGAGCATTATCACCTGGGTCATATAACTGACAGTTTCAGGAAGTTGCTAGCTTACATCACTTCAGAAAGGAAGCCCCCATTTGTAGAGCACCTATGTGACTGCCATCAGGTACTGAATTCATGCTACATATACTTGACTTTAGTCTTGACAACCCTTGTTAACTCATTTTAGTTTTGACACAGAACCTGAGGCTCTGAAATTAGCTCAAGGACATATAGCTAGCAAGTGATGAAGCCAAACTAATACAATGTGTTAGATTTTCTTCTAAATGAACTAAAAAATGAGGTTAGCTGAAACTAAGATTTCCCCAGGGCTGAAAAATGATGAAGGCAGCAAATAACTTGTTCATCTCAGACTATGAGTATGCAGTTTTAACAATATAAACTGAAAAACAGCCTTCTTCCCATTCAGAGTTCAAATAACTACAACACTGTTACCAACTGTCAAATAATAGACTCATCAGATACTCAGTTTGAAGCACTGTTTTAAAACAACTTCTCAAATTTATTTAACTCCTGTGGATAACATGGTATTGTATAAAACGAAAAAAAAAAAAAACCCACCACTCAATACATGGAACTCCAACCAGCACCAGAATTTTCCAATTCAAATTCAGTTTTAGTCAAGACCCCAGCATCATAATTAAAAAAAAAAAATTTGATCGTTGCTTTTCTTTTAATTTTCCATTCCTATTTAGACAAACAACCAGAGACAATGACAAAAATAACTGTTTAAAGGGGATTTCTCTCCAGAAGTTTTTTGTAAAGGTTTAAGTCCAGGCTTTCCATCCTCTCCATCCTCTTTCATTTTAAAAAGAAAGGTTTTTGGAGTATGTCAACCTTTACTCAGCTTGCTGTATAAAGCCACTGCTTTAGTTCTAGACATAATGCCAGGACTCATCTCCCAAACTTCCGGTCTTAATCAAGTTCATGTTTGGTTGCTAAAGAAGCTCATGTTAATCCCAAGGTCAGCACAATCCCAACCTTAAAGTAGAGACAACTGATTGCATGACTTACGACATACACCAGCCTGAGGAGGAAGGAGCTGGTCAGACACCCCTTGTCTGCTACGTGAGACACATCAGCAGTGTAGCCTGACCCCGTCCATAGAGCTCACTGTGCAAGAGCACCAGCACACCACCGCAATCCACTGAGCTAACTACCTGTACAGCCATAATGGAAGTCACTTGAAGATTATCATTGGAATAGATGATTTCCCATAAGTAACTAATAAAAATGTTTTCTTTGCTGTTTAGACCTACTAACAATTCAGTCTGTCTCCTCTTGGGGAACCTGTAATTTAAAGCAAACAGTGGAGCTAAAAATACAAAGGAGCAACATCCATGTATAAACGATTGCCTTATCTTCCTCGGTGACTTCCTAGAAAAGTGCTGGTTCTGAGTATCCTGTTTTCTTCAGGAGGAGAAATTTTATGTAAACGTAGTACACTGTATATAGGAAGGGATTTCTCTATTTAGTCTTTATCTCATTGTACGGGTTTCACTCTCTAGGTATTGTTAAGTGGGGGGGGCGGGGACCAACAAACCACAAAGAGCAGCATAAAGCACACCCCGTGTGAGCAGCACAGCAGCTCCTCCAACATCATCAATGCTGACTCAAGGTAATTTCTGGTGGAGTTGAACATATCATTACATTTCTATTTGTGTTCTGCCTGAGGCTTTTCCCTAACCACTAATTTCGAGTGAAGGTCCCAGAGAGCTTTTGCAAAAGGGACAGAACACAAGCCATGTCCTGGTCTGTAGCCAGGTGTCCGTGTACTGCATAACGGAGGAAGAGGATTACAGCAAGATTTTTGCTTCAGCCTTTAGTTCAACCAAGACTTAAAAAAGACTTACAGAGAACAGTTTCAGGAGATTAAGGGACAGAGTGTGGTACTGGAGGAAGACAGGAGGCGTAAACACATCCAGTAAAATTTAAGGATAAGAAACACCCACACCAATTCTCAGAATACGGAGGAACAAGAAGGGATCGTTCCTGTGCCATATGCGGACCAGGGCATAGGGTGAGTGGGGCACAGTGGATTAGCCACTAAATGGCTTCAGTGAGGATTCTGAAACCTGTTCCAGTATAATTTTGGAGTAAATCCTTCTCCTGGACAGGTCAAAGATTGTGCTTTTTAAATGTCATTAGAAGGTAACAGCTTTTTGCCTCCTGCTTCCAGATGATTTCCCTTTGGTTAAAAACCAGAAATAGTATAAACCTCACAGGATGAAAGAACAGTCTTTTGATACAGGTGAGGTGGAGATCTAGATGAACTTACATAGTAAGTGAGGAGCACACTTCTTGGTCTTCTCCCTTGACCACTCCAAGTCTCTGATCTACCAGAGATGCCAGTTTATTTCCTCTGGAAGAAGCCAGTAATGGACACCTGTCTGTTGGCTTTGCCCAGAGCAGCAGTCCCTTTTTTGGGGCCCTTTCGTTCCTCTTTGGGTTCTTTTTTCACAGTCATGGCAGGGGGTCTGTGTAATGAAGATGTCTTCATCTTAAGCTCCTCTTCACTATCTGTGCAGGATTCACTCTCGTAGACTTTTTCAGTCACTGGTGGGATAAGAAAAAAATGGAACATGGGTGGGGTTGAATCATTTACTGTAACAAGAAAATGGAATGTCTTGCTAACCCCAATCATTTCAGACTCCGATCAAGGCAAATATGATTACTTAGGACTGAATCTTTCTCCTACTGGGAGGTCAGATCTAGACTGAGGTAAGTATGTGGAATCCTGAGTTCATGCAGCCTCTGTTTAATATTTAGAATTAACATTCACTTTTCTCCCTCACTGCTATATCTAAGCCTTTAATGGCCCTTTATCAGTTAATTGCCTAAATCCTTTATTTGGGTCCTGCCCTATGCTAGTTAACTTCCTGAACTCTATTACCAGAATTGTCTATTATCAGAAGTGTTTGAGATGTATCTCAAACACTTACTTCTAACTCCATGCTTTGACTAGCTTCATTAAGTCTCATCTCTCTGACCTACAATGCCTGTCTATTCCCACTGCTGGTCTTAAACCTCTGGTCTATCTGCCTGACTCCCTTCTGTCTAGTCAGGCTCACCATAGACCCTCCTGTCTAGCTCTATCCTGATGCCACCTACTCTCTGCACATCCTAAGTACAGAGAATTAAAGATCAGTTACTCAGCTGTTCAGTTCCTAGTTTTGTGGTTTTTTTTTTTTTTTTTGAGATGGAGTTTCGCTCTTGTTACCCAGGCTGGAGTGCAATGGCACGATCTCGGCTCACTGCAACTTCCGGCTCCCGGGTTCAAGCAATTCTCCTGCCTCCTGAGTAGCTGGGACTACAGGCACGCGCCACCATACCCAGCTAATTTTTGTATTTTAGTAGAGACGGGGTTTCACGTCTCTTTAGTAGAGACGTTGACCAGGATGGTCTCGATCTCTCGACCTCGTGATCCACCCGCCTCGGCCTCCCAAAGTGCTGGGATTACAAGCGTGAGCCACCGCGCCCGGCCTCAGTTCCTAGTTCTTAATGGCTGCAAATTAACCCAAGATTTAGTAGTAGTCTATATCATGAAGGTTAACTATCTCAAGCAAACTATCAGATGACACACTTGTTAGTTTTAAGGAATGACAGTGATAAAATGAGAAATAAAGTTACCAGTTTTCTTAATCCCTATCAGCCAAAGGCATAATTTGCCTTTCCCTTTCTATTAAAACTCACTGAACCCTTCTCAAGGAAAACTTGAAAAATAACTATACCAGTAAGCAGTCATTATGAGGAAGCCCTGAAGGGCACAGGTACAGATAGTGGCTTCCAGCCATGATGTCACAAAACCAAGGAGGGTCTACTTCACACTACTGCAACAAATACACCAACCATAAGAAACAGCATGCCACCTTTCTGTAATTTTAGAGAGCTGTGGAAGCTGTATAACTAATACCATCTAAATTCTTTCTCAGCCTTCCTGGTTGCAGCAAGTGATAGGGAAATACTGAAGGAAAAGATCTCATTCTCAGCTGAAAAGAGTAACCTAATATGCATAATAAATACTCAAATGATTAAAGTAAAAGGTTTTTTTTCCATTAAAGAACAATGATAGTCTCAAGCTCTTATTGATAATTCTTCCTAATAAAATATATCAGTCACATTGCTGTAGAGGCATAAGCTTTGGAAATCAATTTTATCTCTGTCCTAATAACCTACTCTGCTACTTAGATATCATCTCAAACTTTAGTGTGCATCAGAACCACCTGGAGGGCTTGTTAAAACACAAACTGCCAGATTCTGTTTCCCAAGTTTCAGATTCAGCAGGTCTGGGGTGGGACCTGAGAATCTGCTTCTCTAACATGCTCCTAGATAATGCTGATGCTGCTGGTCTGGGACCACCCTCTAGGAATTAATGTTCTTTCCTTCTCTGTTTTAAATGTTAAAGAGCAACTGCCACTGGAGTATTCCTTCACTGTTATCCAGCTAATCCCATTAAGACTGCTAATCAACAGTCTCTTCCCAGAGAGTCCCAGGAATTTGTCCTTAATTTTGTAAGAGCCCAGAATTCACTTTGATGCTCACTTAAAGGCTAAAAAACACTGATGAACTTTAGATATATAGTAAGTATTCTGAAAGGCCTTACTACACAAACTGTACTCCACTCCACCAGAGGCATCAGAATCGCCCATGAGCTTATTAGGAATGCTCTCTCAGTTCCCACTCCTGGCCTACTGATGCAGAATTTCAATTTTAGCAAGATCTTCAAGTAATCCTCATAGTCGGCAAAGTTTGAAAAATGTCGCTCTAAGATACTTAGAGAATTCCCATGGCCCATGGCATACCTATTCGTTCAACAATTAGATCTCAAAACACCACATCCACCTCACATGCATCTTCAAAAGCATGTAACTGAATTAATGGGACAAAATTACAAACTGTTATTTATTGAATATCTTCAATAAATTATCTTCAATTAGAAAAGTCTGAAGAGCCATCTACAGATAAAGAAAGGAAATGACTTTCTACTAGTTGGTGGTGTAAGACTTTGCTCCTTCATAAGCTATATTCTGTATTCAAATAGCAGCATGTCTACAACATTACACTTCAGCATCAATTAACTCATTATTTTATTACTTATTAATGAAATCACTGGCTGTCTCATTGCCAATTTTGTGTAATACATTGCTTGGGGGAGTTAAAAAAACAAGGCGGCACCGACAAAATTTCTTTAGCAGCATATTCAGTACACTGTAAGAGCTAAAAGAAATATTTCTATATTCAAAGCTATAGCTACCTCAAACTCCAGGACAAAGTAGGTTTCCATTAAAAATATAGGTCCTTTATTTTAGTTGAAAAACATGCCACTTTTCTGGGTTGCCATTAAAAAAAAAACCCCAAAACCTGGTTTTCAGAGTAACATCAGATTTCTTTTCTATTCAACTGCTTTGCTCTTAGAAACCTACCCTCTTGTCCAGGAGTCCACTCCAAACTTATCTCAGGGGCTCAACTCCCCAGTCTCTGCTGCAAACTCACAAAGAGGGAAAGATGAGCTTTCTAAACTCACAGAACAAATCTGATCCAGCACAGGACAGGGCAAGCCCCCTATGCTGGTACATTTAGAACAGTCTGCATAGAGAGGAAAGCAGAACTCCTTTGTTGGTAACCAAAGCCAAGATTCATTAGGTTCAGCTTGGACTAAAAACCTTAAAAAAAAAAAAAAAAAAAAAAAAGTGCAATGTGAGCAGAGTTTTCACTGCTGCATCCAAGGCTCTTAACAGGCCTGTCTGGAGACAGGAGTGCAAAAAAGTCCACATCCCACACCTGGCCAAAACTCGAGTACTATGTTTTAAACAAAGCAGTAAATAATTACCCACAAATTCCCAATGAACTCTCACAAAGACATCTGACTTTTTTCTTTTAGGGCAGAAAGAAGAGAAAAAAAACTGGCACCAGTGCTTTTGTCCTCTTAAATTTAAAAAATGTACCGTTGAATTAAGAAATTCAACAGTAAATACATATATTACCACCCATAGCCAAACCAAGAGGCTTGCCATTTTTTGAAAAATGGCAACTATTAAAAGACTGAAAGCCAAAACAAAACAAAACAAAACAAAAAAAACCCGTTCAAAGTCCAGAATTCACAGGTTCACAAGAAATCTGGCACTGAAAAGACAGAATTCCCACATGTAAAGAATTCTACTCCCTAATCACATGCTACAATTAAAATGGCAAAGGCCTTTTCAGAGGACTGGGAGGTGGGGAATAGTGGGACAGGGAAAACAGCCTTAAAACACTAGTTTTAAGAATCAGGAAAAGTTAATTCTTCAGAGCCAATCTTTTAAAAACAGAAATCTGAACTAGAAAACAAAATTGAGAATGGGGAAAATAACCTTCTTTGAAGTAGCCAACCTGTGGCAGGTGCCACAAAAGGCAAATTGACAACCATGGGCTATCCAACTAACAAAGGTAAGAGCCTAAACGCACAACTCTTTTCAAACACAAAATCACAATACCAGGATGTGAGCATCCCAAGGAACCTCAAGTGCTAAATCTTAAAAGCTCCACAGAAGTCTGATTTGATTATGGAAAGGGTAGAAAAAGCTAAAACATGGCTGAAAAAACAGCCAATGACTCAAAGTCTGAACTCTAATTCCTCCCTAAGCCTTCATAACAAGCACATGCTTTTACCTAACATGGCTTACAAATAGGAAGCATAAAGGAAGCAGTCTGGATGAGTCATACCCTTCTGAAGAACAAATGGAACCAAATACCAAAGATGACTCTTGATACAGTCTAATCATCTGTAGCTTCTTTTCCACTGTTCAAATTTATAAAAACATTCTAAAAAAAAGCTTCTCAACCTCTATGATATCTTGAGTCCATACTGTGGTTTCCATCTTGAAAGTGTTTTTAGATGTATTTATGCCACCTGACTCTTCATAACAACCCACATATAGGCCAAATGGATATTGCACAGATAAGAAACTTCTCAACAGAGACAACATAACTTTTAGCCAAGATCTCAGTGCTTATTTTTATAGTATATGACCTAAACAAGAATCAAGGTGTTCTGACTTATACTATGCTACTCAAAGTGTATGCCATAGACAAATAACATTAGCATCACTTGGGGATGATTCACATGTACATTAAAGTTTGCAATGTACCTGTTCTATAAGGGATTATGGTACCTCTATGGTAATAAGAGATTCTATCTCTGGATTTGGAGCCAAATATTTGTCTTACCTATGCAAGCTTCCTCATCCACGTAAGTTTTAGATTTTAGTACACGTTTTCGTTTTCTTTTGTTTTCTCCACTTGAGCTCTAAAAGATCAGAGGATACAATGTTAAGCTGATGAATTATGTTATACAGAAAAATAACAAAAGCTTTTAAATCTATACTAATCACCCTCCAATATTCTATTATGATAAAAAGTTGAAAGAGAAACACTATATTAGTTTTAGAGAACCAACCCCATTACACAGACAAGTTATATATACACAGGCTTATGATATATCATTCAATTCTTATGATATTTCATTCATCTTAAGAAGGAAAGTAACATGCTGAAGAAAGAACTATGTTCTGTACATTCGGTCAACAAACTTTTGTTGAGTAGAGAAGGCAAAATGGTTAAAAAGTTGGATAGGATAAGGACCTTAGTGGAGGAGAGAGAGAAGGAAAGCAGGCCACTGAAATACAATGTGGTAAGGGCTTCAATGGAGGGCTGAGGCAGATATTATGAGAGTACACAGGGATGGCCCCTAAACCAGACAAGGAGTTTCTGTGGTATATGCCCTTGCTGTAGACATCTGCTATATCAGTCTTCACATTTCTTTTTTCTTTCTCATTTTTTAGAGACAGGATCTCGCTCTGTTTCCCAGGCTGGAGTGCAGAAGTGCAATCATAACTCACTGCAGCAGTCCAACTCATGGGTTCAAATTATCATCCTGCCTCAGCCTCCCAAGTAGCTGAAACTAAAAGGCATGCGCCCACCGTGCCCAGATTTTTTTTTTCTTTTTGAGACAGAGTCTTACTCTGTCGCCCAGGCTGGAGTGTAGTGGCACAATCTCAGCTCACTCCAGCTTCTGCCACCTGGGTTTAAGTAATTTTCCTGACTCAGCCTCCCAAGTAGCTTGGATTACAGACGCCAGCCACCATGCCTGGCTAATTTTTGTATTTTTAATAGAGATGGGGTTTCACCATGTTGGCCAGGCTGGTCTTGAACTCCTGACCTCAAGTGATCCACCTGCCTTGGCATCCCAAAGTGCTGGGATTACAGGGGTAAGCCCACATGCCCAGATATTTTTTAAGAAGAGACAAGGTCTTCCTGTGTTGTCCAGGCCAGTCTCAAACTCCTGGACTCAAGCATTCCTAACACCTCAACCTTCTAAAGTGTTTGGATTACGGGTGTAAGCCAACACGCTTGGCCAGCCTTGACACTTCAACATTACACCTATCTAATTTAGTCTCAAAAGCTATTACTAATACGAACTTTCTTTCAGCTCCACTGGTCTCTTTCATCCCATTTTCTCTTCAGCTAATGAGTAAATCAGTGTAAGATTTAAACAACAGTCTTAACACAATGAATTAAGAAAAAGTAATAACCACAAAGGAAAAAAAATTGTCAGCACTTATTTTTTTCAACTCTTCATTATCTACACTAATGGATGTAGATAAGATGCTGCTGAAGAGCATACAAAGCTGTATTTCCCCATTGATTGCCAGTTTTCCCATGAGCCCTTAACCAGAATTGCTCCTGAAGAGCAACAAATGTGTGTAAGTTGTTTGTTCCCCTCTGTCTTTTACGTATTGCTCTGACGGAGAGGGGATCTCTTTTTGCACCATTCTAACAGGAGGTGTACAGCACAACAGAGATGCTAAAGGTCATGAAAACAGAACAACTCCCAGGTTCCACCTCTGCAACGTTCCTGAGACTATAGCAAAATCTCCCTTCAGGTGAGAATGGAGGGAATGTCATTCCGTACAACCTGTAGGAGAGCAGAATGAGACAAGAGCCATCTACTGGCATTTGTGAAGTATACAGCAAGGGAACTGATTTAGCACAGTGGTTGCAGGTCCTTCAGATATAAAGGACACACGGATATGGAAGCATCCCAGTACAAATTTACCTTGACAGAAGGAGGTTCAGGCTCAGTCTTTGGCACTGGTTCAAGAGATGGAGACGCAGGAGGAGGAGGGGATGGTGACTCAGCTTCATAAACCCCAGGAGAGTCAGGGAAGACTGAAATAATGAAACAGACTTAGATCAGAAAACTACAAGCACTACCTAGCATAATGCTTTCTCCACTGGTTTTCTAAATTTACATGTCCAGCAAGCAGTAATTCCTGATAACAAATAACTTTGCAGTTATATAGTTTTCTTTAAAATATACATTTTATTAATTTTATACAAATAAAATCAGAGAATCAAGAATTATCACAGCCAGAAGTATCTTAGCTAAATATTTTCTTTCATAGCTAAGTCAAGTTACGTAGTTGGTTTATGAATATCCAATCATCATCTTCCATATGCCATGTATTTCACTTTATTCTTATAACTCTAAGAGACAGGTTTTATTACTTGCACATTAGAGTAAATAGAGGTTCAGAGAGGTTCCTAAACTTGCCAAGGTCACACAGCTTATAACTGAGACAGGAGGTTTTAAGCCTACGTCAATCCAATTCTACAGCCTTGCTATTCCAACTACACTATGCCACCTTATCATTCAGAACAAGACATTTTCTCTCAAGATCTAAGTGGAGATAATCCTCGGGTTATAACAAATGTTCCATGCCAGAGTCTTTCACTGTGACCTAAGGATTACTTTTAAACACCTGAGATGCTTGTTAGACTAAAAATTAAGAGTATAAACTTGGAAGTGGGGGAAATCATCTTTTAAATGATTATCATAATTAAAGCTCTAACAACTAGGACCTGCTTAATATTTTGCATGGAAACCATTTCTAGTGACTGCTCCACTGATAAGGCTTGTTCTGCTACACTGAGGTTAATAGGAAAAAACACTTTTAGGAAAAAAATACTGCTGTGGAAGTAGCATCACCCAAGAAATGAGCACCACCAGAGGGATCCCATCATTTCTCAACAATTGCAGAATTGGTGATCTTAGTAAAGGGCCCATGAGAGGGGAAGTGAAAATCCTCAACTGACCTATTATTCAACCACCACAAAGAAAGTGCTGGTCAGGGGACTGGGTAGCAGCTTAGCCTCACCTGCTCCCTGAATCTCCTGGCTGTATTCAAATTCTTAACACAAGTCTTGGATCTGAAATTCTCCCAACTGATTAGATCACTGTTAAAAATTATGACAGTGAAGAGTTCAAGGCCAAATGACCTAAAGAGGTGAAGTAGAACAAGAACCAAAAAGAACAATAAATTATACACTTTAAGTATGAAATGGGCCCCCAAAACTTTATAAGCTCTGAGAAACAAGAGAGAGAAACATAAAAGGAAGGCAGTACAGCTATTAGTGCAGCTCTGGGAGGCTAGAACATGAAGAGAGCTCAGGCAAGAGAAAAGTCAAACCTCAGAAGCAAGCCACCATTGTTCTGAAGGAACAGCTATGAAGAAACCTGGGCCACAATGGTAGATGTGTTATACTGGGAGGAGGAAAGTTTAGGCAGTGAGGAAGACAGAGGAATTTTGAGATTCACAGTAATAAACTGAGGTGTTCTTATTCTATTTCCAGTTCTGAAACCAGCTGACCTAACCAAAGAAAACAATCCTAGTGACACCCTCTAAGATCCCTCTCACAGCACTATGCAAATGCTTATCTAGAGCCCCACTCGGGACTCTAAGCTCCAAAAAGGCAGAGACACCACGATTTCCCTGGCATCATGAACACAGAGTAAATATATACATATATAAATAACAGAAAACCACCACTTTCTGAACTAAATTTGGCATGAAGAATGTCCAGGTCAAGGAAGACAACATGTATCTCTCTCTTCCTTCCACACACTCCCTGAGAGAAACACTGTGATAATAAAGGAGTAAAATGTTGTTAACCTCCCAAACAGGGAAGGGAACAGTAGAGGAGTCAAAAGCCCTTAATGATGAAGGAATTTCAACAAATCCCTGGAAGATAGAAGGCAGATGGGAGAAAGCTGACAAAAGAAGCATCAGTTAAATTAGATGAGTCAGATAGTAGAGATTACTATCTATTATAAAACTGCTATTCTTATCTGACTTTTAAGATTGTAAATATCTATTACTTTGTTTAAACTTGCCCCCATTCATATACTAGAATACATGCCTGTCTGCCTTAGCCTTTACCAAGCCAAACATCCTGACTCAATACATTTTTACTGACAAAGAATGTTTGATACACTGGTATATTTTAAACATATTTATAGGAAATCTGCAGCTCTTCAAGCAAAAGTGAAGTAAGGAAATATCACTTATTCCAGGAAAGCAACCTTTGTTGGGACAGAATAAAAGCTGCAATAAAACTAATTTCAGGGATCCAGTGTGTCAAAGAGTTCTCTGGCAGAGACAGGTAATTAGAATTCCTGGAAACCATTCACAGCTTCCTAGGACTCAGTATTTTTTAAAAATACCTATCTCTACCTAAAAATGGGGATCATTTGCTTAACATTCTCCATAAGCAACTTGCAAGGACTGAAAATATTAGCAAAGACTTAAATATATCAGTTGAAACTACATTTCTTCCTAGCAATATATATATTATTCTTAATGTTATTTGTTTCTGGGTCTGGCCTTTTTTTTGCTTTGCAAAGAGAATATGTAGAACTACTAATGGTGCGTATCACCCTGCAGGGGTAAAGGAGAAAAGAGCAGTCCTTTGGGTAGAGAGTTACAAACAGAAGTTGAAGGGAATTGTCTGAGAAAACTGAAGGCACTTGCAAGTATGGGTACCTCAGCTAGAAGAGTAGAGTGAGTAATATGAAAACTAACTGAACTTGTTTCCAGACACAGGTAAAAAGAAAAAACAAAACAAAACAAGAAAACCATGTACCAAGCACTGTCTTGGCACATCATCTTATTTCATGTTCATAAAAAGCCTATACCATTTGTGATAAAAATCCCCATTTTAGAGATGCAAAAACAAGGAATTAAACAAGTTAACTCATCTGCTTAAAACCACACAGTAAGTGGTCAAGGTAAAATTTAAACCTAGGTCTGCCTGACTCCAAAGTTCTTGTATTTTCTCTACTCCTGCTGTTCCTCTTCTAACTTCTAGCTGAAGACAGCATATTGAACTAATATGACATATTCACTGTAACAGAAATAAAGCAATAATAAGTTAGAGACTGTGTAAAGGTTTAAAATAAAATCCCACTGGCTTTGAGACAAAGATGAAATTTAAGAATAAAATAGCTGAAGTTTATAAATTAAGTTAAATGCCAAAAATTATCTTTGCCGGAGGAAAAAAAATCTAAGAGCTTCTGCTCTATATCATCTGTTATAGGCTGTGCACCTCTATCACATTTCTTCACATTCCTTTCAAAACGAAATAACCCCACTCATATTTCTAATCACCCAACAGTATTATTTTTGTAGGCTACATATCAGAACTACAGAGACTATTTCAGAAGGATATAATGAGTGCTCAACCAACCACAGTAATTCCTTAACTTAGAACTGACTCCTTAACTCAGGCGTCCCCAGACTTTTTACACAGGGGGCCAGTTCACTATCCCTCAGACCGTTGGAGGGCCGCCACATACTGTGCTCCTCTCACTGACCACCAATGAAAGAGATGCCCCTTTCTGAAGTGCGGCGGGGGGCCGGATAAGTGGCCTCAGGGGGCCGCATGCAGCCCGGGGGGCGTAGTTTGGGGACGCCTGCCTTAACTAATACTAGAGTATCTAGTTTACCTTTTTAATGTGTATTAGGTTGATGGCTTCAAAGACCTTTCCAAAATCTTCCCAAGGTCTTTTACTGATTGGATATAGGGAAAACTGTTCCAATTAGCACCTATTCCTAAATTAACTTTCTAATTATTTCTCCATGTGTCCACATGGAGTTGTTCCTTTCAGTAGCCTTGGCCAAAGCATGCTGATAAATGACAAGGGAATGAAAACACAGCATTTGCCTCTCTGGGATGCTCATAGGGTCTTACACCTACCCACTCTAAAGAGCCTCTAAAAACCATGAAAAACATTGTACCTCTCACAGGATATCAGAGGCTGTAATCCTAAACACATAGCATGAATGGTAGACTCCAAATTCACAGAAGTGTCAAAGATTTTATACCTCTATCACAGATTCAACTTCCTGCTACTATTTCTTGTGTTTATTCATTTCTTTTGCATTACTGTCATATGTATATATAATTTTTTTTTCTTTCACTCACTTGTATAGTTGAGCTAATATCCTTCTTTCGAAAGCCTCTCTTACCATTTTAAATTCCTCTTAGAGAAGTTTCTGGAAAGAGTAGAATCTTAATTTTGTCCTTTGATAGCACAGTAGGTTCATTTTTTGCATACAGTATTCTTCTTTAACCTCCCTTTTAGTATCTGTTTGTGTTTGTCTCTGTATCTTCATGTGATGCTGAAATCCTTTGGATAGATTTCCCCTCATTTCCTAAAATGTTTTATACCCATTATGCCATGAATTCATGGAGAATTGATTAAAGCAATTCAAACTTTTCACCACTGTTTCTCAAAGTAGGCTTTTCAGGGCAGAGTCATCCAGCACATCAGTTCAACCCATTTAACTTTCTCTTTAGCCTCCTTCTTTTTCTATATACTTTATATAATTTGGGACAATATCTTGGCTCTTCATTATCTGGATATTTTTTAAAAAGCATATTAATGTTTCTGGTAAGACTCTTGCCCTTATTAGGTTTGCTTATCTTACAACATTGCCCACAGCCTAAAACTAGAAGGGTCCACAGTGTCATTCCCTTCCAACAGTGACACTGCAGATTGTTCCAGTTAACCCTATGTAGAATTTTACCTGTGTAGAATGCCACCAATAATACCCTGGCTGCCTAGAATGTCACAATTCTTAAAAGATTCACATGAAGGTAGCCAAAGGAATATCCCCTTCCCTTAAAAGAAAAAAAAGAAAAGAAAATGTCTTCCATAGCATATATAATATTAATTCTTATCTTCTTTCCCGCTGTGTTATTTTGACAAGTTGCTGAAAGATCATGGTTCTGGCCAAAAGGCAAAAGCAGATTTCAAACAGAAAGAGGTGCTACGGTGTCACTCGATGCTAGAATTACTACTCTCATTGTGATCCTAATCTACTACTTTTTTAGCTCCTTGAGCATTTAAAGTAAAATTGATCCCCCTACCCAAAAATGAATGGTAATGCTCACCTTCATCTTCACTGCTATCAGACTCAGGAAGTTTGATTCTTCTCCTCTTTTTCTTCATGTTTTCAGTTTCCTTAGTCTCATCATCAGATAACGCTACTCGCTTCCCCCTGTTGCCATCCAGAAATAAATTAAGTATGTTATACAGAACAAAAATGTAAGTATTCACATGACGGGTTTTGCTTTATAGCTCGTGGTCTTAATTCCAGAGGCTAGAAAAGAATAGCCAAATAGTCCACTAAGGACTCTCGTTAAGGATACTCTGCTACCTGACCACAACTAGGTCACGTCATGAGGTGACTTGAATAAAAAATGTCTGTAGTTATCTAGAGACTACTGGAAGCTACAACCAAGTTATCGAGAATCTTTCCAAATTCCTTCTTACTTCCCTGATTGGCCTTTAAATTATTCAATAATCATTAAATAAGCAGCTACTACATATCATACAAGGCTCTTTGCTAGCCACTGAGAATGCAACGATACAGAAAAAAATACTGTTTCCAAGAAGCTCTGGCAAGCACCACTGGCTATAATACAATGTGGCAGATTTAACTGGACAAATAAAATGTTATGGAATATAATTCATATTTGAAAAACTTAAAAGCTAAGTAGAAGTTCATCATGTAGAACGGGGAAACAAATATTTTAAAGAGAAAGAACAAAAGCAAAGGCACAGATATCCTTTTAAGGTGATTCTAAAGACATCAAAAAAAAAAAATACAAAAACAAAACCTAGACTCCATCTTCACATTATTATCTCCTCTGGATGGACGGACACTCCATCACACTCCTCATGCAACCAACAAGTAATTTATCAAAGGCCTACTGTATGTTAGAGACACAAATATATACAAGACATAACCTTTACCATCAAGTACCTTATGTCTTATATAACTTTAAATATCAACTCTTCTTTCTACCTTGAACTAGAAAGAGAACAACTAAACCCAAAGTAAAAGGAAATAATAAAGATAAGAACAGAAATCAATGAGATAAAAAAGAAAATTAACATAGCCAAAGTTTTTATTTTTGGAAAAGAGATTAATAAATTAATAACCTTTTATAAAACCCATTTTGAAAAGGGAAAAATATAAATTACCAATCAGGAATGAAACAATGAAGAAATCTGCATTGAGTACAGATTCTATAAACTCAAAGAATAAGGTTATATAATAAACAGCTTTATGCCAATAAACTCAACAATTCAGATCAAATAGACATATTCTTTTAAAAACACAACTCAGTCAAAACTGATCCAGGAAGTACTAGAGAATTTGAACAGCTCTAGTTAAATCCAAGTCACAATAAAAACCATTCCCACAAACAAAATCCAGCCCTGGAGTCACTGGCAAATTTTATTAAACATTTAAAATATATATACATATATACAAACTCCTTCAGAAAACAGAGGAAACTTCTTCCAACTGTGGTCACGGATCAAGTGACCATGTCATCCAATGACAAGGACACATTTTGAGAAATGTATTGTTACGTGATTTCACTTTGTGAACGTCATAGAGTATATGCACACAAACCCAGATGGTATGGCCTTCTGCTCCTAGGCTACAAACCTGTACATCATTGTTACTGTACTCAATACTGTAGGCCATTGTAATACAATGGAATTTGTGTATTTAAATATCTAAACATAGAAAGGACACAGTAAAAACACTGTATAAAAAAGATTAAAAATGGTACACACATACAGGGCACTTACCATGAATGGGGCTTTCAGCACTGAAAGTTGCTCTGGATGAGTCAGTGAGTGAGTGGTGAGTGAATGTGAAGGCCATAGGATGTTACTATACACTACTGCAGACTTTATAAACACTGTACACTTAGGCAACACCAAATTTATTTAAAAATGTTTTTCTTCAATAATAAACAGCTTACTATAACTTTATTTTCAATTATAACTTTTTGACTCTTGTAATAACACAGCTTAACACAAAAAATTGTACACCTGTACAAAAATATTTTCTTTATATCCCTATTCTATAGGCTATTTTCTATTTTCAAATTTTTTAATTTTTCATTTACTTTTTAATCTTTTTTTATTGAAAACTAAGACCCAAACACACATTAGCATTGGCCTACATAAGGTGAGGATCAATTATCATTGTCTTCCACCTCCACATCTGGTCCTATTGGGAGGTCTTATTCAGGGGCAATAACACACATGAAGCTGCCATCTCCTACGATAAAAATGCCTTCTTTTGGAATATCTCCTAAGAACTGCCCAACGCTGTTTTACAGTTAACTTTTTTTATAAGTAGAAAGACAACCCTCGAAAATGATAAAAAAAAGTATAGTGCAGTAAATACAAAAGCATAGTCATTTTTATTATCAAGTATCATGTACACATAACTATTAATATATATGCTATACTTTCATATGACTGGCAGCACAATAGGTATGTTTATACCAGAATCATCACAAACACATGAAAAATGTGTTACACTACCATGTCATGACAGCAATGCTGACACTAGACAACAGGAATTTTTCAGCTCCATTATAATCTTAGGGGACCACTGTTGTATATGTGGTCCATTGTTCACCCAAACTTCATTATGCAGTGCGTGACTAATCTTACGAAGTTAGCACAATTTTGTCACAGCAACTTGATAAAGACATTACCAGAAAAGAAAGTTAACTGACCTACACTCCTCATTAACAAGCAACAAATGCTTAGTGTAATATTAACAAATCTAATCCAGCAATATGTAAAAAAGGATAATACATCATAACCAAGCGGAGTTTATCCCAAGAACACAAGGTTGGCCTAACATTTTTAAATCAGTGTAATTCGCCACATTAATAAAAACACCATTTGAGCATCCAATAAATGCAGAAAAAGCAGCTGTCAAAATTCAACACCCACTCATGATAAAACCTCTTAGTAAACTTGGAACAGAAAACAACTTCCTCAATCTGGTTAAGGGCATCTACTAAAAATCTACATTTAACATCACATTTAGTAATGAAAAACTGAATGCATTCCTGGCAATAAGCATCAACAGTGAGTGTTGTACTCATGGTTGGGGACATTTTAATTCACCCAAGTCATATGTGCCTAGGAAGTGAGGTCCACTGGACAGAGCTTTAACCCTCTGCAATTTCACCATTTTGTTGATGTTTTCAACGAGAGTAGTCCCAACCTTCCCACAAAAGTCATCTTTCTGGGCCTATCAGTGTTGACACTGTCCTTCAGAATTTCTTTCAACAGACTAATTCTACCAACTATGAGGTAGTGTCTCCAATTCCTGGATCTAGTTTTAATAGCTTATGTGCTTTTTATTTTCTTTTTCTAATTACATTTTACCACTTGAAAAATAAACTCATTGATATAAAAAAAAAAAAACACAAAGAACTTTTTCTCTTAAATTTGACTGGGAACAGTAACCCCCTCATTTGGCAATTTGAAGTGAAACACACACACACACACACGCACACATACACACACACTTAGGCATACTTATGCCACATCCACAAATTTAAAACAAAAAGTATTGAAAGTGCTACATAACAAAATAACCAATAATAATAACAATAAAACAAAAAATAACAATTAATTTAGAGCAATAAGACCAAAAAAATGACTTTGGTCCTTAAATCATCCAAACTGGCTGATTCCACAGTCCTACTTCACTAGATAAGCTACTGGGCTTCTCTCTCCATTTTGCTTGTATAGTTGTGTCCCTAAGGCTTTAAGCGGGGTTTAGTACTAAAGTGAAAACTGCCTGCTGTAAATAAGCCCAAACAGAACTTCTCACCCCTAGTAGAGACTCTTCCCCAACAAGCAACAAAATTTTCCTACCTTTTTTTTTCCTTCTGCAGCATCTTAACAGGCTCTGCTTTTTTGCTGGATTTTTTCAGGCCTGCAGGAGCTGCCAGCTTTGGTTCAGTGACAGACACTGTAGGTTGCTCCACTATTTTTTCTTCTTTCACTGCTTGTTCTGAGTCCAAACTGACTTTAAGTTTATCTATAAATAAAATATAGCAGACGACATATGACCCCATCATGCAATATTAATAGATCATTCTATTGACAGTTTACCATTTGCCAGGTAATATGTTAGGACCAGGGGCAAAAAGGAGCTCATGGACTATTCAGAAAACATTTCTCCTTTCCAACCACCACTCTAACTGTAACTTTTCATTTCTGCCTCCTGCTAATCCCTCATTATATCACAGCCCGAAGCTAAATGATAGTAAAAGGAAGGCTTAGAAGAAACAAATACAATGTTATGAGGTATTATCCTTCTCCTTTTTCAGATGAGGAAAATCAAGAATCAGAAGTATTAAAAGATGTTTCCCAACAATACAGAGTTTACAAATGGTAACAACAGAATTGTAGCAAGACCTTTACTTTCTATTATATTCTATCTTTTAACGCCTGGCAGAGTATGAGGGTTCAATTTCTCCATATCCTTGCCAACACCTGTTACTGTCCAGTATTAAGTTTTAAATGGTTCAAGTCCCCACAATAAACTCTCTTCATCCAACTCTCAAGCTTGATTTTCATTGTAATTAATGATCTTGTCTTATGTCAAATACAATAAAAAGTCGTAATTTTACTCTGAACATTCAGCCTTCAAGAAATGTCTGTTAAATAAATTAACTTTGTAAGCAATTCTTTTTTTAGATGAATATTTAGTAGTATTTTCTTTTATCCAGGTTTTCAACCTCACTGTATTACATGCTATCGTAACACCCTATTACTCCTACCTAGCAATTAACAATCATCCACTATGTCAATGTTTTCTTTCTTTCCTTTTTTTTTTTTTTTTTTTTTGAGAAATGGGGGTCTTGCTTTATTATTGCTGGATCTGAATTCATGGGCTCAAGCAAATCTCCCGCCTTGGTCTTCCAAGTAGCTGGGATTACAGGCATGTGCCACCATGCCTGGCTTTTTTTTCCATTTTATTTGTCTGTCTAAGTAGTATATAAGGACTTGAAGGCAGGGACTCTGTCTTTTTCTCTATTGTATCACCAATGCATAACAATGCCAAGCACATGGCAGGTGCTCAATCTATGTGCTAACTAACCACATGACTTAAATAAGCATACTTCTGTATAGTTTGATTTTTTTTAACAATTCACAAATAATCACTGTTTGATGTATTTTAAAAATAAGAATTTTAAAATTCACTGTTTTTTTTTTTTTTTTTTTTTGAGATGGAGTTTCGCTCTTGTTACCCAGGCTGGAGTGCAATGGCGCGATCTCGGCTCACCGCAACCTCCGCCTCCTGGGTTCAGGCAATTCTCCTGCCTCAGCCTCCTGAGTAGCTGGGATTACAGGCACGCACCACCATGCCCAGCTAATTTTTAGTATTTTTAGTAGAGACGGGGTTTCACCATGTTGTCCAGGCTGGTCTCGATCTCTCGACCTCGTGATCCACCCGCCTCAGCCTCCCAAAGTGCTGGGATTACAGGCTTGAGCCACCGCGCCCGGCTTAATTCACTGGGTTTTTAAGGTTACAAACGCATTAAAAAATGTGTATCAAAAAACAGGCAGGTCTCATCAAAGTTGCCAAGAAACCATAATCTGATTGAGTACAGTGGCCCATACCAGGCAGGCCGGTCACAGCATGATGCTTTAACACATCACACCCCAAACTTTTTGGCACCAGGAGACCAGTTTTATGGAAGATGATTTTTTCATAGACAGGGGTGGTGGTCGGTGGGGTGGAGGAGGTGGTTTCAGGATGAAACTGTTCCACCTCAGATCATCAGGCATTAGATTCTCATAAGAAGCCCACAACCTAGATCCCTCACATGCACAGTTCACAATAGGGTTTACAATCCTTTAAGAATCTAATGGCAATTAGCCGGGCATGGTGGCGCGTGCCTGTAATCCCAGCTACTCAGGAGGCTGAGGCAGGAGAATTGCCTGAACCCAGGAGGTGGAGGCTGCGGTGAGCCAAGATCACGCCATTGCACTCCAGCCTGGGTAACAAGAGTGAAACTCCATCTCAAAAAAAAAAAAAAAAAAAAAAAAAAAAGAATCTACTGGCACCACTGATCTGACAGGAGGCGGAGTTCATGCATAATAACGCTTGCTCACTCACCGCTCACCTCCTGCTGTGCGGCCTTTCCCAATGGGCCACAGACTGCTAGCCCTCAGTGGCCTGTGGGTTGGGAATCCGTTTTAACAGAAGTAGGAGTCATTCCCTGTGCACCGATTGCGCCTGCAATAATACAATGCTTCCCAATAACCTTTAAGTAGCACATTTTCCGTATACTTTTCTAGTTACCTGTGCTTTTCTAGTTACACATTCTGAGCTGGAAGAACACAAAAATGTGCTCTGATAGATTTTATGGTAAACACAAAACTGTCACCCTTACATAAGCAGAATGTGAAAGAAAAAAAAAAGCCACTCCAGTCCCTCCCATGACTACCAATTTAGCCGTCATGGAAAGGCAGAATTCTGGCTAATTTTGCTTGCATAGGCATGTAACAAAATGCCTCCTTTAAAAATCTTTGTAAAACGGATGCTCCAAGAGAGTGTGCCATAATTATCCTGCGGCTCCTGCATTCTTCCTGGTATTCTACCACATACTCTCTGGGGATGCACACTTGATATGAGAAGTATGAAAATATGTGACTACTGGTTCTTTCCATATGAAAGAATTCTTATTTAAACATCTTTTTAAAAATCAAGATTTTTGCTTTCTCAAAAAGATTTTTAAATATCCATTATTACTTGAGCCCTTCTAATTCACACTGGAAATAATCTGCAAAAAATAACTGAAGAAAGGCAAAAGATTTATTTTGTGGCCCCTTAAGAGACAGAAGAAATAAAGGTCACACCAGGCAAACTGACTCTAGCATCCATGTTATTAACCTCAACACTTTACTGCTTAGTCAGGCAGCCTTCCTTTTATTTTAATCACCCATTTTCAAGGGCCCTATGAAGCAAACATTTCATTCTCTTTTCAAGGCAGGAAATTAAACCAGGAATAATAAGCTGCTCTCAAAGTGATCTTAACTGAGCCTAACTCATCCATAAAGTTCCAGCTCAGTTACTTTCATCAATATATTATATTGGGCAGTACACTGCAAATTTATATTAGATGTAAGTAGTCTCCTGGATTGGCAAAAACTACACAAAGTGGCTTTCACTTCAGATATAATATGTTATTATATTAACATTCACTCATTAGTCAAAGTAAGGTAAAAACATGCTTACTCATAGCAGCTTTTCCAAAAAAGTTGCTCATCACATTCCCTTTCCCTGGTGCCTTGTTGCCTGCCGAAGATGCCTACAAGCATAGAAAACACGCACCATTTTTTGCTAGCATTTAGGCTATTCATGAAGTAGCAGTCTCAAACAATCTCTTCAATAGCATAGCATACTGTTGTGAAGGTATAGTCTCTATATAATCATGCCAAAATATGTAGGCATTAGATATAAGAACAAATTTAGAACAATAATCCAGACCAGATAGTAACTGGTCTTAATCTCTAAAGCTTAGTTTCTTACAGATCTTATCTAAACTTTTCTTGAGCACATTTTAAAACTATTTATTTTGACAAAATTAAAACAGATCAGAGGCAGTATGTACACAAAGGGGGAAAAACCTAAAACATTACATTTTTAGTCATCAGAAGTAGATCTGAATTCCTGGTTCCACCATTTAGTAGCAATATGGGCTCCAGGCAAATTACATAAATCTAGGTTTCAGTTTTGCCATATGCAAAGGGAAATAGTTAATATCTCCCTCACAGAACTGATAAGAGGATTTAAACAAAGACCAAACTATTGGCACATAGTTGAAATTCAATAAACATTAGTGTTTTCCTCCATCCCTTTCCCTTCCCAAGACAGAAGCCTGAAAATGACAGTGATAATAGTAACAATAATTATACTCTTCTGGATTTTAAAAATAATATCTTAATGATACTTTTCTTAAGTCAATGCCCTTAAGTTAGTTCAGATGACTGAACAATAAAAAAACTAAGGGAAGCAAATGAAGCAAAAAACCAAACCAAAACAAAACAAAAAACCGCATAAAGTAGAATAAGAATGGGAAATATTCTAGGAAGGAAGGTATATATTGCAAAGCTCAGAATATAAGATGTTCCTCAGAATGATATATTGCAAACAAACATTTTTTTGAACATAACAATTCTCAAGGTATTTTCACATGCATTTTTTCACCTGGGTCTCACAACAATCTTGTGATGTGCACAAGGTAGACATTACCACTTTACAAAGGAAATCTAAGGCTTGGTGAGAATAATATCAAAAGCAAAAGAACTCTTTCAGATAACAGTATCAAGTATTAAAGGGTTCCAACTAAAGTAGAAAAATCAGAACTGAATATCAGAACCTTATATAAATAAACTACTAACACTGGAACTATTAATGCTTTTCTAGTTACCCACTCTGAGCTGCAATGAAGGGGTATCTTCAAAGAAGACTTACATTTGTTACTTCTTTTGCCTCTGTTTTTGCTTCCTTGTTGATTTCTTGGGTTTTAGCAGTTGCTTTGGAGGCAAACAGTCCCATAATTCCTCTGGGCTGCTGGGAAACCTGCTTGGACAGAGGGGGGCCATGACCATTGGTGGTCGGCTCATTGTTGGCTTGTGTCTCACTTGATATGTTAAGATGTGACTGCTCAAACTTTTTGGAAGATGAAGAGGATTCAGCAGGAGATCTAGGGACTGCAGCTGCACATTGTATTGCACTGAATCTGGGGACAAGAATGTTGCATTAAGTTAATATCAGTAGGTCAGAAAAATATAGATATAGATATATCTATATTTGGATATAGAAATATAGATATAGATATATCTATAATATGGATATAGAAAAATGTTGTACAAAACTCTGTATTACATAAAGAAACAAATATTGGAGAGAAGTGAGTCACCTGTACGAGGTTGTATGTCTAGTTAGTAATAGATAGGGTTGGAATTAGGCATCTTCTACAAAAACAAATTGAATATTCTTGCTTTTTTGAAAAAAGTATCCTAATCAAAAGAATAAGAATGCAACCAAAAATTATAAAAGATTTAGTAATTTTATTATCCTTGGGAAATGAAATAGCCTTTGTTTTTTTTTTTTTTTTTGAGACGGAGTTTCGCTCTTGTTACCCAGGCTGGAGTGCAATGGCGCGATCTCGGCTCACCGCAACCTCCACCTCCTGGGTTCAAGCAATTCTCCTGCCTCAGCCTCCTGAGTAGCTGGGATTACAGGCACACACCACCATGCCCAGCTAATTTTTTTGTATTTTTAGTAGAGACGGGGTTTCACCATGTTGACCAGGATGGTCTTGATCTCTTGACCTTGTGATCCACCTGCCTCAGCCTCCCAAAGTGCTGGGATTACAGGCTTGAGCCACCACGCCCGGCTTGAAATAGCCTTTGTTTTTAAAGACCTTCCTCTAATAGGGCTAGATTTGCAATAAATATTGACTGAATCAAAACTAAGCTTTAAATATTAACCAATTTCCTGGCAACTCTCTTGGCCAGAGTAAATCATGCTGTAGAATTAGGTGCGTTGGGTCACGCTTGTAATCCCAGCAGTATGGGAACCTGAGGTGGGCAGATCACTTAAGCACAGGAATTTAAGACCGGCCTGGGTAACATGGTGAAACTTTGTCTCCACAAAAAACACAAAAATTAGCTGGGTGTGGTGGCGTATGCCTATAGCCTCGAGGAGGCTGAGGTAGGAGGATCACCTAAATCCAGGAGGTCAAGGCTGCAATGAGCGATGGGCTCACCACTCAACTCCAGCCTAGGGGACAGGGTAAACTCTGTCTCAAAATAAATAAATAAATAATGCTTTAAAACATGGGAGAAGCTGGGAGCAGAGCCACTGGCTCCTATAACCTATAGTCCTTTACAGCCATTTGTTAATAACTTCTAATAATACTAATGGCACCAGACAAGTAAGTATGCCCAAGGCCAAGAGAAGAAAGTTGGTGGAACAGCTTGCACGGCATATTAAAGGAAACATACATCTCATCTAATCACTACAGAAGAGCCCTTTCACACAAATCCATAATGTAACATTCCACATTGTGAATGGGTAATTGATTTAGCCTTCCCAAAGGATTATACTTAAAGCAAAGTTCCCCAGCTTTTTCTAACAAAGAAAAATATTTTATTTTTCCCAGTCTTGCTTATTGAGCATAGATAAGACCTCCTTGAAGTCTTATTTATCTTTTGTATTTCAGGTGCCCAGCTCAAGACCTGGCACATAGAAAAGTGTTAGCAACAACATGTTGAAAGAATGACTAAGTAAATGAAAGTGAGGCTTCTGGCTTCTCTCCCTTCTTGAGTGTATCACCTTCAACTTGGGGTGGGAGATTTCTAAACTATATGATGATAGTAATTATCTTAGAGATCAACCAGGCACAACTTCAAGATTAACTGCTAGAATACCTGGCTTAATGAAAAAAAAAAAAAAAAAAAAATCCCTGATACATCATCCCAGAAGTAACTTTAGACTGGGCAGCCCCAAAGCTAGAGTCAAAAGCTCCCAAAATCTTCCACTGATTTACTATGGTCTTCATCAGAAAACTCTCTATTTACACACATCTTTTGGGCATTAGAGTTAAGAACAGACGGAAATCATTTTCTTTCACCCACTGCTCTTCCTCTCTGGCCTTGCAGTGCTTCCACATACAAGAAAAAGGGTAATGTTTTATTTCATTGTCAACGTCTTAAAGTTGGCCTTAAAACAACTCTTGCTCCTTCTGGTCTGCATTCCACACCTTAGGTTCAGGACCAGGAATTGGCAATGAGGAAGAGACTGAGTTAGGCTGGGAGCATGTCTAATGACAGATCTCTGCTCAATCCTAAAATTTTAACTTTTCTTCATGCACAGCACTTCTTAAAACACACGAAATCATGAGTCAGATCTCAATTGGCCCATAATTCTCAGAACCAAATACAAACTCATTTGTTGGAGATAAAATCACTTTTCTACTGAGAATACTTAAAGTATTTAGGTAGTTTCACTGAAGTGCTTCCTATTACCACATTTCTACTTGCCATGTTTATTTTAGTGGGCCTGGCAAATTTCATTTTGAACTTTTGCGTCACTTTTATTCGTTTGCTTACTTGCTAGATACAACAAAGGAACTGATTTTTAGAGCCTGAAACACGCAACCAGATGCTAAGACACATTAGTTTTGAAATCTAGTAATATATTTTAAATAAACTTATCAGGGTGTTAATATTTTCTTGAAATCCTTCCTTAAAAGAAAAGAGACTTGTAAATTATTACTCTTTGGCTATATATTTATTTAACAAATATTTATATGCTTATTATATTCAAGATTTTGAGCTAAAGAAAAAAAAAGAACTAATGTCTATCGTTAATTCACTCGATAACTACTGAATGAATCCTTACTACATGCCAAGCACTATTTTGGGTATATGGCTAACAAAATAGACCAAATCCCTATTCTTATGGGACTTACAGAAACTATGGCAATGCTGTATCTCTCTCTCCTTGAGGACCCATCTTTATCAGTCATCTCACCTCCCCAGGATCTTCAACCTTTTCTTCTCTATGGTACCTTCCTAACAACCTAAGTTCAAGTCATTCTCAACTTTAAAAATACATATATCCTTTCCCCGTCTCAATCCCTCCTTAGCTACCACCCTCTTTTCTTTTTTTTTTTTTTTTTTACTTATTTTTCTTAATTCTTCTCAAAAAATTTGTAGTCCACAACGAACATATTTTTGCACATTTTTTTTTTTTAAAGTTCACAGCTATCAGTGTTAGTGAGTTGTTGTTGTTGTTTAGAGGAAGTCTCGCTCTCTCAAGGCTGGAGTGCAGTAGTGCAATCTCCGCTCACTGCAACCTCCCCGTCTCCCAGTTCCAGTGATTTTCATCCCTCAGCCACCTGAGTAGCTGAGATTACAGGCTTGTGCCACCATGTCACCTAATTTTTGTATTTTTGTAGAGACGGGGTTTCACCATGTTGGCCAGGCTGGTCTTGAAATTCTGACCTTGTGATCCGCCCTGCTTGGCCTCCCAAAGTGCTGGGATTACAGGCGTGAGCCACCGCACCTGGCCCATACCACCCTCTTTTCTGCTTTACAGTCAAATCTCCTGTAAAGAGCTGTCCATTTCTGCTGTCCCACTTTCTGTGTCCCCATTTACTTAGCTGACCAGAATCTGGTCACTCCACCGAAAATGCTCTTACCAAGGCCATCACTAAATCCAACGGACAATTTTCACTTCCTAACTTATTTGGCTTCTCACCAATGTTTGACATTGTTGACCAGTTCCTCCTACTTGAATCTCTTTCCTTAGCAGCTGAAACCCCATATATTCTCGTGATGATCCTCTTATCTCTGGAGGCTCCCTCTTGGGCCCCTCTTTCTCTGCTCTTCCCATCAAAAGAAGCTATCATTAAATAGTACTTACTATGTGCCAAGTGCTATTCCAAGTGCTTAACATATATTAGTCCATTTAATCCTCTACAACTCTATTTGGCTGGTACTATTGTCAGCTTTAGTGATAAGAAAATTGAGGCACTGAGAGGTTAAATAATTTGCCCAAGGTCACAAAGCTCGTAATTTGGCCTAGAGTTTTACTTTCTGCCCTTCTTTCATTCTATACATGCTCTGTGCTTAACTCTATGGCCCAGGTACTAACCTATTCTTTTTTATTCCAAAATCTCTACCTTTACTTTGGATTTCTCTCCTTAGCTCTAGCTAGATTCACCTATCTTTGGTGATGGACATCCTCACTTGGATTTCTCACAGGCTTCACAAACACAACATGTCTAAAACCCAATTTGTCATTTTTCTATCTCTCCTACAGCCTGCTCCTCCTATTATATTCCCCTTCTTAGTACCCAGCTGCCCAAGCCAGAAGCATGGGTATCATCCTTTTAATACCAAGAAAGGCTGTCTCCCTCATCCTCTACCCCCACACACCTTGTCCCCAACCATTACCATACATCAAGGTTTTTTGATGGTTATGCCTCATTAACCTTCATACCTCTCCATCCTCAAGAGCACTACTTTACATCAGAAAACTGTCATCTCCACCCTAAATGACTGCCATATTTCTCCTCCCTGATGGCTGTGCCTCCAGAGTATTCTCTTCTGATCTATCTTCAATACTGCAGTCAGAGCAATCTTTCTAAAATGCAATTTTGATCATTTCACTCCATATGCTTAAATATTTTGAGTGGCTCCCCAGTACTCTCAGAATACAGTCTGAATTTTTAACCTAGTAGTCAAAGAATAACATAACTCCTACTTGGCCTTTTTAGTCTTCTATCTAATTTTTCCTATCTTTCACTCTAAGTTGCAGCCATGGAAAATTACCATGGTTCTGCACAAGCATGTTTTCTCTCCTAGCTCTGTCCTTGGTCTCTCATTTCTCCTTTGCCTGGCTATTTCTACTGGGACTTCAGGCCTCAACTGAGATGTCATAACCTTCACTGTCATAAGTCATAACTGTCTTGACCCCTCACTCTATCCATGATAAGTGCCCCCATGAACATCTTCCCACACTATTCCTCCTATTACAGCACTCTCACACTATACCATAACTGCCTGTTCTATGAAAAGGTACGTGGGCACATTCACTCTATACTGTATGATATTCATAGGTACTCATGAGTATTTAATGAATTAATTTAAATAATTTGCTCAGTACCTATCAATATATTAGGTGCTCAATATATGTCTAGGGAACTGACCTGAACTCTCAACACAACCCCACGAAGTAGGCATTATTACATCTAATTTAAAGGCAAAGAAACCAAAGCTCAAAGAGTTTAATCTGTCTAATGCCACTGGGCTATTAAGCAGCAAAGCCACAACTCAAGCCTGTGACCACCAATTTCCAAATGTACATGCATTATAATCCATTACCTCTTTGTGCTGTTAAGGATACAAAAGATGAAAAAAACCTAATCTTAGCTATGGAAGCTCAAGAAAAAGTTGCTTTTGGATGAAAAGAAGAGGGATATCAAATTAGGAATTGTTTTTCGAAGGACAATGTTTGAACTGGTTCTTGAAGGATGGGTAGGATTTAGACAAGCAGAGACTGGGTAAGGGAGTTAGAACGGGCACAGCAAACATTTCTGGTGGCAGTGACAGGATAAATATATGAGAAATAGATTTATGGGGAGTCCACTAGGGTTTTCAATATGGGTTGTGGCTGCTATTTTTCACCTTATGATGTACTAATAAAACCAGGCATGTGTCTTACTGCAAGATAAATGGGGTTTTACTAGACTTGGCATTCACTCTTAAGAGGCAGCCACTGTGTAAACATCTTACAAAATCAATTCGTAAAGAAGCCCACAAGGAACATTAAGAAGCTTACTTGCTGCAGTTCTGCAAGTTGCTTTTAAGGATGTCATAGTCAGTATTGAACAGAGGCCCACTGTCCTTTAGCATGGCTTTCTGGATGCTGTACACATGGATGCTGGCAGTCACAGCTAGCTTGGACTTCACTGCTACAAGTCAACAGGAAAAGCAGTCTGTTAATACATAAACTTCATAACATGTGGGGACTTTAACAAGAAACCCTTCTGCATTAAAGCATTTGTAATTTGTGGTGGTCCAAAAAACTCGAAAAGGCCAAATAGCCACATATACAGTAAAACATCAACCCTTCTGTCTGCATGGGGATATTATGACAAGGTAGGTGGTGGTGAGTCATTTCTAAGTACAGCACCTGTGAGGGTATCACTCATCCAGTGGACACTCGGTAAATACTAGTTAATGATTGATGATGACTATAACGATCTTTCTCTTTTTCTTTCAGTCAGAAAAGAGCCTTAAACTATAGCATATAATTAAAGAGGAGTAAGTAATTTCTATCTGAGAAGACTCATTTATATATTTCAATTTTAGTTTAAAGAAAGCAACTCTATAATGAAAACACTACTAACTAGGTAAGTCTATGGAGGAAAAACACAAGAAAACAAATGTTAGATTCTGAGAAGGAAGGGATTGTGGCTAACTTATTCCATGTCCCCATGCCTGGTATAGAGCTTGGCACATAGTAGATAATCATTATTCCATGCCTGGTATAGAGCTTGGCACATAGTAGATAATCATTACACATCTATAGAATAAAGAAATTTTGCTTTGCTTAACACTGTGGGAATTCAGAAAGTACAAAGTGGACAAACACACCACGCTGTAAACTTCAGAGTTACATTTGGTAAGAAAATACCCCCACCCCATTGGCAGGAGCTCTTTCTTTTTAAAATAGATACATTTGTTTTGTGTCCCTGATGTGGATACCCTCCACCCTCCTCAGCCCTAATCTGTGCAATGGGGCCTTCAGGCCAAGAAGCCTTTATATATGAAGGACAACAGTACAGGTTTTGTCTTGAGATACAGAACCAAGATCATGAGGACTCTATTATTAAATTCCTTTGAATTGGGTTTTTAAACAACAGAACAGTAGCACTGATAAGTCTTGAAACAGTTTGACAGATTTAATTTAGAAGTTATTTAATTTAGAAGTCTTTCTGACTTCCAGAAAAGCATTCTTTAACTTGCTTCCTAAAAAAACTGCCACTGTCTTTTTACAGTTGATGAGGTAGCTCACAGAGTATTCATAACAGTTTTTGCATGTGTCACGAGTTTTGAAATTCCATGATAAAAGTGCTTTATAAATGTCAGCAGCTATTGGCCCTAAAAATGGGAAGTTAGGCAGATGTAGTATCATATTTTAACATGCTTCAAAAACTACTAATAAAATTAATATTGGACTATTCAGTTAAATAGCTAAGCATATTATGTGCAGATGTTAGAGGCAGATTTTTTATTGAACCTAAACTGATGCCATAAGAGGAAAAACTTGCTCAGTCACTAAAACACTTACCTTCCAATTTATCCTCTCTCACTACTGCAACCTTGTGGCACTGTAAAAAAATAACACTTTATTAGTGTTTAATGTAAGAATTTGCAGTTTTAGTTTTCTTGCCCCAATAATTCAATTGTGCTAAGATGTGAAATTAGAAAAATACCAGGCACTCCTTAAAATATGTTATAATTTAATAAAGACAGATTCACTTTTAATTTGCTTACCTTCAAGAAAAAAGAAAAAACAATAATTTGCTTATTTTAAAACCTCTCAATAAGGTTAGTACAGATTTCAGTACCACAACTAAAAAAATACAGCATCTCAAATAAATGTGAGCAAAGGCTTTTTAGTGACTGATTTAATAAGAATTACTGTATAATCACATGAAACCAGATAAAAATTGGATCTGTTCCTCACACCATGTACCAAAGTAAATTCTAAATGGATCAGAGATTTAAATGTAAAAAATGAGGCCGGATATGGTGGCTCACACCTGTAATCCCAACACTTTGGGAAGCTGAGGTGGGTGGATCACCTGAGGTCAAGAGTTCAAGACCAGCCTAGCAACATGATGAAACCCCGTCTCTATTAAAAATATAAAAATTAGCTGGGTGTGGTGGCACTGCCTGTAATCCCAACTACTCAGGAGGCTGAGGCAGGAAAATCGCTTGAACCCAGGAGGCAGAGGTTTCAGTGAGCTGAGATCACGCCACTACACTCCAGCCTGGGTGACAGAGTGAGACTCAGTCTCAAAAAGAAAAAAAAAGAGAAAACATACATGCACATTAAAACATATGTGAGGCCAGGCACAGTGGCTCACGCCTATAATCCCAGGACTTTGGGAGGCCGAGGCAGGTGGATCACAAGGTCAAGAGATCGAGACCATCCTGGTCAAAACTGTGAAACCCTGTCTTAACTAAAAATACAAAAAAAAATTAGGTGGGCATAGTGGTGCGTGCCTGTAGTCCCAGCTACTCGAGAGGCTGAGGCAGGAGAACTGACTGAACCCAGGAGGCAGAGGTTGCAGTGAGCCGAGATCGCACCATTGCACTCCAGCCTGGGTAACAAGAGTGAAACTCCGTCTCAAAAAAAAAATGTGAATTCTATAACCTGCTTTAATTCAAGAAAGAGAAAACATTTCCTGAGTATAATTCAAAATCCAGAAATAACTGAAATAATGTATTAAGAAAACCAACTTTTAGATGAAAAAAAAAACTTTAAGTACAAAAACAAATGATAAAGTGGAAAAAAATCTGCAACTTATATCACAAAGGGTTAATACACAACTTCTAAATATAAAGAAAACAAAGACTAACAACTCTTTAGAAAGTGGGCAAGACAGGCTGGGCACAGTGGCTCAAGCCTGTAATCCCAGCACTTTGGGAGGTCAAGGTGGGCAGATCGCGAGGTCAAGAGATTGAGACCATCTTGGTCAACATGGTGAAACTCTATCTCCACTAAAAATATAAAATTTAGCTGTCCATGGTGGTGCGCACCTGTAGTACCCGCTACTTGGGAGGCTAAGAATCTCTTAAACCCAGGAGGCAGAAGTTGCAGTAAGCATCACTGCACTCCAGCCTGGTGACAGAGTGAAACTCTATCTCAACAAAACAAAAAAAAAAGAAAGAAACAAAATGGGCAAGAGGTATGAACAGTTCACAGAAAAAGAAAGATTTGAAGGAAGCTTTCACTTTCTATATATTGTTAAACATTTTTTATAATAATCATTCAAAAAATAAAAATTATTTACATTAAAAAAAAATTCAGACCAGGCACAGTGACTCACTTCTGTAATCCCAGCACTTAAAGGCCGAGGAGGTAACTTAAAAGTTTGAGACCAGCCTGGGCAACATGACGAAACCCTGTCCCTACAAAAAATACAAAAATTAGCTGGGCATGGGGGCAAGCACCTGTAATCCCAGCTACCTGGGGGACTGAGGCAGCAGGATGGCTTAAACCCAGGAGGTTGAGGCTACAGTCAGCCGAGATTGTGTCACTGCATTCCAGCTTGGGTGACAAAGTGAGACCCTGTCTCAAAAATAAATAAATAAAAATTTAAAAAATTAAAAATTCCATATGAAGCCTTGCCTTTTTTCTTTCTAGACACACTAAAAACTTTAAAAAGAAATTATTAACAGAAGAATTAAAAGAACAAAACCTGATCGTAATGCTTAATAATTTGTCTTTCCTTAGGAGGATTCCCTTTAAAGAAAAAAAGCATGAGTAAGCAACCACATTTGGTCAGTCAATTCTACATGGTTCCACAGAGCTTCCCAGCCAAGGCTATTAGGAGGGCAAGTCCAGGACTTGAAAATCCTCACAACCACTTCAACCACAGCAACCCCACTCTTTTTTTTTTTTTTGAGACGGAGTTTCACTCGTTACCCAGGCTGGAGTGCAATGGCGCGATCTCGGCTCACTGCAACCTCCGCCTCCTGGGTTCAGGCAATTCTCCTGCCTCAGCCTCCTGAGTAGCTGGGATTACAGGCATGCGCCACCATGCCCAGCTATTTTTTTGTATTTTTAGTAGAGACGGGGTTTCACCATGTTGACCAGGATGGTCTCGATCTCTTGACCTCATGATCCACCCGCCTAGGCCTCCCAAAGTGCTAGGAGTACAGGCTTGAGCCACCGCACCCGGCCTAGCAACCCCACTCTTAATAAATTTTATATACAGGACTCTGGTAAAGATTTTGTTTGAAAAAGCATTCTCCTGCTAAAAAAAAGATGGGCAGAATTTAAATCCCATCTTACACTTACAAACAGAAGGCCTTTTTATAAGGAAGCCATGGCTTAGAAGTTTTTAACTGATTACAAGTTACACATCATTTTGAAAAATGTTATCAGAAATATGCACTGAGGAACACAATTTGAACTTTCAATGTCATCCAAGAAAACCCTGGACTCTGAAGACCAACCATGAAGACCATCTAAGAATCCTAAGTTATGAGCCCCTGTTATAATGGGTCAGTTTGAGTAAAAATCGAGACATTATTTTAAAACATAAATTCTTTCAGATCAGGCGTCCCCAAACTTTTACACAGGGGGCCAGTTCACTGTCCCTCAGACCATTGGAGGGCCGCCATATACTGTGCTCCTCTCACTGACCACCAATGAAAGAGGTGCCCCTTCCTGAAGTGCGGCGGGGGGCCAGACAAATGGCCTCAGGGGGCCGCATGTGGCCCACGGGCCGTAGTTTGGGGACGCCTGTTTCAGATCCTATTCCAGAAGATCCGTGAACTCAAATTTATGAATGTCAACATATGCATTTTTCTTTGATTCTCAAGGGGATCAATGACCAAAAAAAAAATAAAAATCACTGCTTTTATGATTCCCAAGTAAAGGCTTCAATATGACTACATTGAAGGTACTGACCTAACTAAAGAAAGAAATAGAAGGTTAGTTAACCCTGGTAACAGAAGAAAATATGACAATCAGCTATAAACTTTCACAGTATCCTTTCAAGGGCTCTACAGTGGCAGAACTCTGGAGGCAGGTTTATCTCTGTAAGTAAACGAGTCACATCTGTATAATTTGGCTTCAGAGACATAAATGACACCTTATTTTACACTTGCAAACATCTTGGTTATCATTTGGCTTGCCAAATAGCTTGCAAACAAGAAAAGAATATGTTAGCTAGAGAATATAAGAATCTGATCCCACTAGTGGTTTTGTTGCTCCTTGTAAATTACTAAATTGACATTCCAGTTTTATTTTGTATCACCTAAGCTGGAGTGCAGTGGCACAATCATGGCTCGCTGCAGCCTTAACGTTACAGGCTCAAGTGATCCTCCCATCTCAGCCTCCTGAGTAGCCGGGACTACAGGCGCGTGCCACTATACCCAGTTAATTTTTGTATTTTTTGTAGAGATAGGGTTTCGCTAAGTTGCTTAGGCTGTTCTCAAACTCCTGGGCTCAAGTGATTCTCCCAACCCAGCTTCCCAAAGGGCTGGGATTACAAGAGCAAGCCACTGTACCCAGCCTGACATTTCAGTTTTAAATCTCACATGCTTGGGGACTCAATTGCTAAAAAAAAAAAAATCTAGTCAATATTTTGGCGAATCAGGGCACTGAACTTATGATTCTGAGGGAAAAATCAAAGGAAAGAGGAAAACAGTCAATCTCTGAGAAGGGGCCACCTGACCTTTGGGCCAATTCCCTTGGGGCTTTTTATGACCAAAAGAACCTTCAGATAGGAAGTCTGAGGAAGTGAGAACAGAAGAGCTATGTCTTACTTTTGGGGGGAAGCCGGAGAGGGAGGATTATTCAAGTTCCCAAGGCCCAGTTTGGTGCAGGAGAAGGACAAGATATCTCAGCAGAGCTTCTGGTCCCCAACAAGGCATGAGAATAACAGAATGATCCCTGTGCCCGACAGGAACATGAAAACAGCTAAGAGAAAAGTTAAGCTGACCTGAGAAAGCTTTACAGTTAGGATGATGAAATCCAGCAGTCACCTGTGTTGCCAGATGACCAGATACCAGGTGGGACTACAAAAAGAAGAGGAAGGAGAATAAAATGTTCCCAGCCTACGCACTGCATCAGCTATGCTCCTGCCAACAACCCCTACCCTTCAAGCACTTAGACATAAGACTACCAAATGAATATTCAAAATTAAAATAAAGTTCAGTTAAAAAAATTATAATTTTTGAACAGTTGTATTTGCAGTGTGAAATTTGAAGAGGTGGAAAATTAAGCACCATTGTTCTCAATATACCTTCAAGAAGAAAAAAGAGGTATAGGAAATAACAGAAGCAGTCTCCTAACATCTGATTGCGTAATAATATAGTCTCTGCATCACAGCCAAGATATTACCCAAACTTCTCAGTTTTAGATTTAGTCTAAAAATCCAAAATAATCATCACCATCAAATAGCCCTTTAAAACTACTATAACACAGAATCTTGTTTTTTTTTCTCTCCCCTGAACTATGTTATAATACTCTTCATAACACAAACACATTTAAGCTCATTACAAGATTCTGAGAACTTACGGAATGTCCATTCTGAATGAGACTGCCAGACACCAAATAGGTGACATGCAGTTGGGCTCCTGAATTTTCTTTTCGTTTCCTTTCAACATAATCGTACAGCATCCTATTCCAAAAAAAAGAAAGTACAAGTAAGTCATCAGTAAGAGTTTTTACATGATCAACTCTTAATTAATGACTTAAAAGATATATGAAATCTGATAGTCCATCAAATTTTCTGAACAGTAGCATTTTTGTTTGGCCTATGGACAGAGTTAAAAAAAAAAAAAAAAGATGGACTTTAGACAGGACATGGGGATAGAGTTAACTTGTATGAAGCTGACACAATGACCAGCACATTAACTGAAGTGAGATTAATAATAAACCAAGAGGGACTGAACTTGCATAAAACAATGGTAATAATATATAATGAACAGAACACTGAATTAAGAAGTAGTTTGGTAACTGTCTGAGCTCTGGATAAGTTAATTTCTAGGCCTCCTTTTTTTTTTTTTGAGACGGAGTCTTACTCTGTTTCGCCCAAGCTGGAGTGAAGTGATGCGATCTTGACTCACTGCAACAACCACCTCCACCTCCCGGGTTCAAGTAATTCTCCTGCCTCAGCCTCCCGAGTAGCTGGGATTACAGGCATGCACCACACCTGGCTAATTTTTTTGTCTTTTTAGTAGAGATGGGGTTTCACCATATTGGCCATGCTGGTCTTAAAACTCCTGACCTGTGATCCGCCCAGTTCGCCCTCCCAAAGTGCTGGGATTACAGGCATGAGCCACCCTGCCTGGCCTTCTAGGCCTCTTAATTCCCAAGGTATAAATACGAGGGTTATACCAGATTAGTGATTCTTTTAACCTGGAATTTAGGTGGCCATCTATAACCCTCCAACCATAAAGTTTCAGCAAATGTTTATGTGCTTTTTTGGGAGGAGATGGGTGAGGGTTTTCATTGATTCTGAAGAGTGAATTACTTCAAAACATTAAGTACTACTAAACATATGATCACAAATGTCCAGCTCTGAAATTCTAATTTTATGATTACTTAGATTTAATGCTAGTTCGGAACTGCAGAATCTAACGGCTTACTCACATTGCCCAGTATTCTGAATAATTCATTAACCTGAGATAGTCAAATACTAAATGCAGAAATAATGTTGCTTTTAGTATAATCTCTAAATTCATGTTTACCCTATGACCCAGCAAGTATCAGACGTTGGCTCCCTTCAATAATCTAGTTTAAAAACACCAAAAAGAGACATAACATTTGTGTCTTTTATTTCGAGAAACATTTGCAGTCTCTCTATAATATCATACTTCTGCCAAGCACAGTTAGAAACTAAAAATCCCCAGAGCAGCTCAACCTACATTGCTGTTCACTCTCTTCTTGAGGAGCTTCCCCTCTCAGCTTCCATAAAACCATGCTCCCCTGAGTCTCCTGCTATTCTCTCACTGCTTCTGCTTCACTTTCTGAAGAGACTTCTCTACCTCCTCCCTCTCCTTAACGGTTGGTGCTCCTGTTTCAGCTACCTTTACTCTATGTATTAGAGTGACTGATTATCCCAGTCTGCCTGGGTCTGAGGGGTTTCTTGGGATGTGGAACTTGCAGTGACAAAACTGACAGTCCTGGTCAAACCCAGGGTGGCTGATCACCCTACTACATATTCTCCTTGGTTTATTTCATCCATCCCTGACAACATCATTTGCTCAAACCACCCAAGCCAGAAATCTGGGAGTCATTATCCTTCACTTCTTCCTATCCAGTGAGTTGCCAAGTTGCATCAGCTCTCCTTCCCAAGTAATTCTTGACTCCATGCCTTCCAAATGAATCTCTTGACTAGACTATTTCAATTCCAAGTATCAATTCCTCTTCTCCTCCCCACTTGATCTTCATTATCCATGATGCTGCCAGAGTGAAGTTTAAAAAATGCAAATCAATTCATTCAGTCAACAAAGCTTTACAGAGTGGCTACTTTATGTTCTATGCCTTGGGAAAGAACAGTGAATAAAGCAAAGTTCCTACCCTCTTAGAGCTTACATTCTAGAAATGAGGCACACAATAAACATATAATGTATAATCTCAGATGACAGTAAGTCTATGGAAACAAAATTAAGTAAGGTAAGGAGGACACAGGGTACCTGAGAGAGAAGTTTTGCTGCTTTATTTAAGGTGATTAGGGAAGGCCTCATTAGCAGAACCCTGCAGGAAGGGAGAGAGCCAGCACAGTGGGTATCTTGGGACAGAATGTTCTAGGCAGACGGTCCAGCAAATGCCAAGGTTCTGAGGCAGGAATGTCAGCGAGATCCAAGGAACAGAAAGGAGGCCACTGTGCTGCAGTGGAATAAGGACAGTAGTAGGAAAGAGAGGGTAATGCCAGGTACACAGGGCTTTGTGGCTACCACAAGACTTTAAGAAGCCATTAGAAAGTTGTGAGCAAAGGTAATGTGATCTCACCTTCCAGAAGGATCCCTGACTGCTGTGTGGACAATATACTGTAGAGGGACAAGGGAGGAAGCTAGGAGACCAGTTAGGGGGCTATTGCAATAAACCAGCCTAGAGATGACTGGTGGTTCAGTCTGGGGTGGTAGCAGTGCAGGTAGTAATTAGTGGATGAATTCTGGGCATATTTTAAAGGGAGGAACAACAGGATTTGCTGATATACTGTAGTGAGGTTAAGAGAAAGAAAAGTCAAAAATGACTGGACTAAGCAAGTTAAAGAATGAAGCTGTAATTCACTGAGATGGGGGAAAAGCAGGAAAATCAGATGTTGAGGGGAGAAGTCAGGAGTTAGGTTTCGGGGCATGTTAAATGTGCAATGCGTATTAGTCATTGTTGATGTTGAAAAGGTCGCTGGCGAGTCTTATCTGAAGTATAATTCCTTGTTACAAAGCTTTCAGTAGCTTCTCATCCCCTAAGGATCAACTTCAAATCTCTAGCAATGACAGGTAAGACCCTTCTTGTTCTGGGCCCTGTATCTCTGACCATTCCCCATCATACCTACACTACTTTTATCCTTATGAAACATTCTACAATTCCATTTATTCCTTTGTATATGTCCCTTCTTCTGCTTAGAAGGCTCTTCTCAGACCTCATCTACCTAATTTCTCATCAAGACAGCAGCCCGGTTATAACCTACTCTATGAAGTATGAACCTTTCCCCAACACCATCAGGTCCCAGGAAACTCTAATTTTTTTTTTTATTTTTATTTTTTTTAAGAGATATGGTCTCACTCTGTTGCCCAGGCTGGAGTGCAGTGGCAGAGCTCACTGTAACCTTGAATTCCTGGGCTCAAGCCATCCTCCTTCCTCAGCCTCCTAAGTAGATAGGACCACAGGTGCACACTACCATGCCTGGCATTTTTTTTTTTTTTTTTTTCCCTGATAGAGACAGGCTCTTGTTATACCTCCCAGCCTGGCCTCAAATCCCTGGGCTCAAGCGATCCTCCCGCCTTGGCCTCCCAAAATGCTAGGATTACAGGAGTGAGCCATCATGCCTAGACAATGAGCCTCTGCCTTCTAAGCGCTAACAAAACTTGTCCCATATCTATTATTACAGCATCTGTCACCCTGTATTCTAACTACTTATTTTACATATGAGCCACCCCCTCCAGACTGTTAATTCCTTGAGTACAAAAGGTGTCCTATTCAGGATTTTTGTTGATTCCTCCTCCTTGCCCTCTGTTTCTTTCCACTGTAATCACTGTGTTAGAAGGACAGATGAGCTAACAGATGACGAACATTTTGGTTTACTGATGCTAGTTTGGACCATGTTAAAAGAAGAAGACATGATAGGCAGGTACCATGCCCGAGATGCTCTCAAGCTTGCTGGCCAAATGTACTATCTTTTATCCACAACTATTAGGCCTGCCCATAACATCAGTCATTATCCTCTATTCACGTGTCTCCCCAGGTCAACCCCAATTCTTCTCTCTTGTATTATTAACATAAAGTTCAAAGCAAACTCTTATTTTAGAAAAGAATTCCTGCAGCCAGGCACAGTGGCTCACACCTGTAATCCCAGCACTTTGGGAAGCCAAGGTGAGTGGATCACCTGAGGTCAGGAGTTCAAGACCAGCCTGACCAACATGGAGAAATCCGTTCTCTACTAAAAATGCAAAATTAACTGGGCATAGTGGCACACACCTGTATTCCCAGCTACTCAGGAGCCTGAGGCAAGAGAATCACTTGAACCCGGGAGGCAGAGGTTTCAGGGTGCTGAGATCACACCACTGCACCTCAGCCTGGGCAACAAGAGCGAAACTCTGTCTCAAAAAAAAAAAAAAGAAAGAATTCCTACCTACTTTTTGAGTCTTTAAAACATGTTTTATTTAATTTAAGCCAAACTTTTTTTGTGTGTATGGAGATGGAGTCTCATACCCATCTAATTTTTTTGTATTTTAGTAGAGACAGGGTTTCACCATGTTGCCTAGGCTGGTCTTGAACTCCTGAGCTCAAGCAATCCACCTGCCTTGGCCACCCAAAATGCTAGAATTACAGGTGTGAGCCACCACGCCTAGCCTGAACCAAACATTTTTTAATAAACAAAATGTAAAATATTCTTAAATAAGAATGACAACAGGCCAGGCGCGATGGCTCACGCCTGTAATCCCAGCACTCCGGGAGGCCCAGGCAGGCAGCTGAGGTCAGGAGTTTGAGACCAGCCTGGCCAACATGGTGAAACCTCCGCCTCTACTAAAAATACAAAAAATTAGCCAGGCATGGTGGTGCATGCCTGTAGTCAGAGCTACTTGGGAGGCTGGGGTAGGAGAACTGCTTTAACCCAGGAAGTGGAGGCTGCACTGAGCTGAGGTCACACCATTGCACTTCAGCCTGGGCGAGAGTGAGACACCATCTCAGAAGAAAAAAAAAAAAAAAGAATGATAACATACATGACTTCTTACAATATGTACTTTCTACACATATGATTAATTATAGCTTCTCATTTTAATCCATTAATCTTTTCTCCTGATCAGTTCCACCCATAATTTTCCCCAGGATGAGTATAGTGTGTTGTTTATGCTGGTTTCTCTAACCCAATTTAATTCCTTCACAGCATTTTCACAATTTCAAATTATCTTGTTTAAATCAATCAAGGGAGGGACTCCGTCTGTGAGGTTT